CAACACACATGGAACAGAAGGTAGAATATGTCAGTACATCCCATGGATGCAAAATTTTACGGCAATTGTTGCTATAAAATCCTACCTGCGCGTACATCTCGTACACATGTGTGCACGTAACTGCGATATTTAAAAAAGAAATCTCAGAAAAGATCATTGTTTCCAACTTTCTTATAAACCCGAAACGATCATAAAAGAACGGGGAAACGTTGGAAAGCCTCGTTTAGGATATCGATGCAGTTAAAAGCGATGCTGGAGAGAGAGAGAGAGAGAGAGAGAGAGAGAGAGAGGGAGAGAGAGGGAGAGAGAGAGAGAGAGAGAGAGAGAGAGAGAGAGAGAGAGAGAGAGAGAGAGAGAGAGAGAGAGAGAGCCGTTCGACGCAGATGACACCGGCGATACAACTGGTGAATTTTTGCGCCTCGCCCGCCCGGCGCTGCGATCCCGCGGCTTCTACTCGCGTGATCCCGGCCATTTTGTCGTTCCGCAAATATGTACGGTGAACATTTGCGCGGCCCGATCGCATCGCGACGAGAGAGCCGTTCGGCGGTTTGTCACCGAGATAATGGTGTAGTTATACCAGTGATCGTTGTTTAATGATTTGCGATCGATCACTGCAACGGTTAGTCGCATTTCTTTCTCTCCCCCCTCGTGCCATCGACTACCTTCCGACCGCGGCCGAGCACCATCGAGCTTGCATTTCGTGTTTCCATGATTACGCCTTTTACGGCTGTTTACACCGTTTTAATTGGCTTCACCGCTCGCTTCCGATTTCAAACGAATCAATCGGTCAACTAACATATTGACAGCAAGTAATAGCAAACGCCTGCCGGATATGTTACAGTGTAGATTCCCTCACTGAAAGTTATACAGGAAAATCATGTTGAAACAAGACACAGAGACCTAGTAAATTTTTATAGATTTTGCATCATTGATTTTATTTTTACGTTTTGTCATATTTTCAGTTTAGGGATAATATATTAGTATAATGAAAAGATAAAGTTGATCGTAAGTAAATAAATAAATAAATAAATAAATAAAAAATTGAAAAATTGTCTCAGTACTCGGATTTCGCTGCTATGACTTTTGTCAAGAGTTATCCTACTTTCCGATTATCCTAAATTGTTTCTTGAGATAATACATGTTCATCGATTTAATATATTTTAGATCAACTTTTTGATAACGTACTTTTTGATAACGTAGACATACATTACTCAAGCACAAATTGAGTGTGTTACCGTCCTAGTTAATCATTCTGGGTCCTTTTGAAGTATTATTTCTGTTTTTCGGAGAAATAATTTCGCTACGCGGAAATGTCTTTCCAACGTCGGACGTAACGAGACGCCTCTTTTCTCGCTTTCCCAAAAGTGTAGCGATGTAAGTTCTGTGCAGAGTAATACACTCAGCCGCTGAATTCATTAAGACGTACGTGCGAAAACATATCATGCAGATCGTTATGTACGGAAAATTTCCGCCGGTTACAAATACCAGCGTAGATCCGCGCGTTCTACCTTCTCGCCCACGTACGCGTCCACGTTCACAAAATCCTCGCCCGTCGGTCGTATACAGGTTTGCTTAACGGCCCGTATAAAGTTTACGAGCGTTCCGGCTGAAACGGCGGCAGAAATTTCTTTCGAAGAGATTCATTTCTCGGGCGAGAGATGGAATCGCCGTGTCGCCTTAAAGTCCCCACGGAACGACACGTACGACGCGGCCGCGCAATTAATTACTTATTACCACGGAACTCGCTGGCGAGCTTCCGGCATTGTCGTATCGGCGCCGCCGATGAGTACACGAATGGATAGACGTAAGTTACGTCTTGTCGTGGGCCAATTTCACGGAGGAAATGAAAGAAGAATCGCGGAATTTTTAGGCTGACGAATGAAAGGGGCAGCTTTCATCGCGAATAGGTCGAACGGGGGTCGCCGCGGCGTAATTCGTCGCTCGTGCGAAATATGTAACTCTTGTAATAAACAACTCACCGCTCGCAGAGGGGAAGCGGCGGACGGTGTGTGATAAAAGCTCGGTAATCTTCGAAGGGCAGCTGAAGAAGAACTTAACGTTGTGCGAGACAAAAAAGTTTCGGCGGGTGTCCGCGACTCGGTTCTGAAAATAAGCGGTCGACCGATAGTTTGCGGGCGCGCTTTAAAGTTCTCATCAAGCGATCGAGGTCTGTGGGACACTTCTGTGTCTCATTGTTCCCTTTGTTTGGTGTTTACGCTGCTGCGCGCAGGGATTGCATCGCGGCATGCCTGGCGACGGCCCTCGGCACTAGCGGTGGCGGCGGCGTCGATGGTGCTGGCAGTGGCGTCGGTGCTGGGCTACGATGGCCCCCTGCGAAAAGCAGGGACGAGAGGAGCAGGGTGGGCTCGTCGGTGTGCTAGGAAGAGAAGCTTTCATTAAGCTTGCATTGTCCCAGCACCGCGCTATTATAGCCGAGTGAATAACTTCGAGCCATCCTGGTAGTCGTGCCGCCCTCGTCCTCCTTTTTCACCCTTCCTATCCCTCACCTCCTGTATCCTCCCCCCCCCCTCTCTCTCTCTCTCTCTCTCTTTCTGTCTATCCATCTATCTATCTATCTTCCACGTTATCTTTTTTTCATTCTCTTTTTCCGTCTCATATCCCTATCTCGCGTATCTTCTCCCCTTTCTCCTCCTCGCCCTACTTCCGATATTTTCACGTCGCCCTTGCGGGTGCGCACGCGCGCGCGCGCCACGATCCTTCCTCGCCCTTTCACGTCATGTTTTCCAGTGGCTTGTCTTCTACCTTCTTTCACGCAATTTGACGCATCTCCAATTTATTCCGCGACCTCGTTGGGCGAGCCGGCCGCCGACTGGCCCGTTAGTGGTGGCGATATTAACGAGCCGAACGGCGATATAACGGCAATGGCAAATCGCTCGAACGGCGCCAGAGCGCGGCATCGAACGGCCGCGGGCACCGTGACGGGGGACGTTTTTTACTATGTCCTACTACGAGCATCGAGCGTTCGTCTATTCGTTTGTGAGGATGCGGCGTTCTCGGTGACGATGTTGCTGATGCTGATGGTGGTGGTGCTTTTTAACGAATACGACTCTGGCGGCTGTAAAATCTTGACTGTCCCGTTCGTTAATTACTCGCCGCGACCTCGTCGTACCTATACCTCGTTTGTTCGACGACAATTTTGATCCCCACCCCGTCTCTCCCGATGTCCCCTAACCCCTCGTTGTCCTTCCTGGTCGTTGTGCCAACCCCGTCGGCTGTTCAGTCGCCCTATATACATACCGGGATATGCTTGAATCCTGTCACCCGGTTCGACGTTGGTCGTTAATGACGCGGAAGGGAAGCTCGTAGCGAACGCAGGAGGAGGGCTCGGGGTGGAGGTGGAGGAATGATTGCCGGAGGTTACGGCAGAAACGCGCACCTGCGATGATTACATTTGATTTCCAGAGGCACTTGATGCGTTCAATTATTTCCTCCACGAGTTTGCTTCTTCATTATAACGAGCACTCCGATTGCTCTAACGCCGTCCTCTGTTCCTCGTCTTCTCTTTCTTTCTCCCTTCAGAGCTATATTCATTTGATAATTTCGACTGATAATTTATATATTGGTAATTTACGTAGATGTAAAAGTACTTCCTAAAGTATAGTCTCAGAGTACTCTTCATTGAAATTCTTGTGACAGAGTTTTAATGTGTTCGGACCCCTCGCCCCCCACCCTAATATTATCTAGCTATCCGATTATTCAGATAGTGAATAAATGTGACGGTTTAAAATAGAGCTATCCGGAGAATAATTGAAACGTCAAATTCGAGGTCAAATCCGGTTCCAAATTCGGATTTAAGTTTGTGGCAGAATTGGTTAAACAGACATGTTTGCAGCAATTCAAATCCATCCAAAAAATTCGACAGTCAATAAACCAATATTTCTTAATTGTAATTTAACGATTCTCTTAACCTAAAATGTGTATCCGTGTGTGTGTGTGTGTGTTTGACAGAGATCGTATTAGTTAATATATGTTTGAATAATAATTATTTCATGTTTATATCATACATATACACGCGCACACATGCATTCTTGGCAATACTTGACTAAATTCTTTATAATATTTAAAATATAATATGTAAAGTAAATATGCGCAAGAAAAAATATGGATTTATCTCGGCTTGTTAGACGTCCTAATTGCACACACCAGACGATGATCGAAGACGACGGAGAAGAAAATCGGCCACGACTGGACAAATTTGCCGTCAAATTGTATTGTCGATAATCGTTATCATCTTGAGATACAATTTGCCATCTTTATTCGAAGATTGGCTATTTTCGTGCACGTAAAATTCAATCCACCGCGGCCCGATATTCGTCCGCGGAGAGAATGCACGGAGCGCCTTTCTCGTACAAAGAATGACTTTCGAATGCGTAGAAACCGGATTACGTCGGCCAATACATTTCAGGATTACTACAGCGGAGATCTTATTCGAAAATTGCGAAGTACCAGGCTCTCGCGGGGTTGCTATTACCCGCGAAATAAGATTGCAAGTCGCAGCGATCGTCTACGACTTTCTAAATTGCTTATTAAACGACGTCATTCTCATTCTAAGTTTCATTAGAGAATTCAGCTAAGCGAGTGCTAAATCTTCCAACGGGAATAGAATAACGTGAAATAACGCGGATCTAATTTCGCTCGGCTCATCAACGAATTTTATACTGGTGATTCTATCGCGATCATTATCTTCATCGTAACCTCCGATCCTCTGATTCGTCATTCGTGCAGCATTATCAACGAGATTTTCGCGATGTCGCGATTGTTTTCACGATATGCCGCAGGCCCGGGCTCGAAAATAGAGTAGTCGAAGCGCGATGAAATTGCAAGCCGAACGTCGCTTTAATTTAATCCGCCCGCAGCACACGCAGCGATATTCAAGTTATACCCGTGTCTCTCTTTCCGATGTTTCCGTGAAATCTTCGACATGCCAGCGCACATTGACAACGTTCGCACTGACACTAATTGCTTAATACCTGTTTCAGATACTCCGTCGTTCGCGATAACGCGTTTACCTGGTTTTGGAATTCCGATCGTCGAGGGGATGTCCGTCAGCCTGAAATGCGAGGTGGACAGCAATCCAGTCAGCACTCCAATTTGGCAGCGTGGTAAGTGGCGAATGAAAAAAAAAAAAGAAGAAAGAAAAAAACGTAACATGGCGTTGCTCTTAATTTGTCTAACGGACACGGGTTTACATGAAAATTAATAAAATCGGGAATTCGGATCGTCGAGCCTGAAAACGTTCCGCGGAAAAACATCGCGCCGGGATGATTGAATTATTCCAACGTATAGATATCGTCGTACTCTCTCTTCAAGTTGTGCGTCTAAATGAAAGGTAACATGTCCCCTTTTTTCGTTCTTCACGTTCACTCTTTTAGCCGAGTATCCGCTTGAACTTTAATTATGTTCAAGCGTCGGAAAATTTTCATTAATTCTTATCTTTCGGGCAACTCTTGCTATATGAACGAGATTCTTTGTTCATATCACGCTGTGTCACTCGGGGAGATATCGATCGCGCATGCCGAGCGCATTGTCCTCTATTGTTGAAAGAGAAATGTTAACAATAAATCCGCGCGTTTCTTTCTCTGGATGAGAACGTTCGCAAGGAGGACGATACTTCTGCGCAAATAAATGTTGAGTTAACACCGACTGTCCCGTTAATGTTTTCATTTTCGTCGCATTAACGCCACTCGTTCCCGCGCGTAAAGTCTCCACGAACTCTCAAAGCTCTACGCCCCTATGGAGTTAGTGTGTTACAATTATGGGACACCCTGTATACAATTTTCAGAAATAATTTTATACAATTTCAATATAAATGTTTTACGAAATTACCATCACTGTGCGTTTAAATTCCAAATTCATTTATGGCTACGTTCTCACGAGTCGACAACGATGTTTTGCCGTGAAGAATCGAGGAGATAACGATAATTCGGTTACAACTGTGGTTGCGCTTGTCGTCGGTGCATCGACACACACACATGTTTACAAATAGGTTACATCTCCTTTAGAGTTATTACGAAGCCGTTATTACGCCGCGATGGGTCATATGCATCAGATTCTACCCCGTCCAAGTGCCTGTTTACAGTGATTAAATTATGCTCACGTTGCCGTTACACGTGCCCGCGCTAACGTGTCTACAACGTGACGCGTTTCCTAGCTGCAGAGAACGGGGAGTTGCACGAAATAATGCACGTGCGCTTGCAACTCACCGTCTGCAGCAGCGGTAGTCTGCGAATATATACAGTATATAGTGTATATATTAGAAGATATCTTCTTCGAAACATGAATCCGCGCGAGAATCGGTTGTACGACAGAAATTATAATTATATCAATATTATGACACACTTGTGGCTGTATTAATATAATGTACTGTTCAATTTACATATATCTACTTTTTGTAAAATTTTTGTACATGTCCTACAATTTCGCAAAACGGATTAGGAAGAGAAAAAGGGAGAGACAGAGAGAGAGAGAGAGAGAGAGAGAGAGAGAGAGAGAGAGAGAGAGAGAGAGAGAGAGAGAGAGAGAGAGAGACAAAGAAAGATCAATCTCTAAAAATGTCAAATCTCAAATCGGAAAGTGGCTCTCATTATTACTTATTTCTATTAACTGCACTTTATATCTATTAAAACTAAAAAACTGGCATTTTGCAATATTACCGTTGCAAACCGAGATTCTCAGGAACAATCTTTCACGTCATTGAACAGTTTCCGCTTGTATAAGATAAATAAATTTCTACAGATCAACGTCGCGGTATTGATATTGGATATGTTAAAAATGAAAAAGTATATATCGCTCTTTTATTATATGCGTATGAGCGTATTTTTCACCGACAACATCGCAAATGGATGTTCCCGTAAAACAACATGTAAAAAACGCACTCTCCACGCACTCTCGCGAATTTCCCCGTTTTTCACACACAAATCCGTCAAACGTTACGACGTATCGCAGCTGACTATGTCGCGTCCCAAACGTCGTAATTTCCGCGTAATTAAACCGTCGTCGCGAGTGATATGCCAAGACGGTTCTAACGCATGTCGCTCTTGCGGCATGACGACAACGTCGTCTCTAGTTTAGGAACGGATCTGAAGTTCGGCATTCACGCGATTTCCGTCAAGCCTATCCTCTCTTGAGATCTCCGGGGATCTTGGATTGGAGAATCCGTACTGAGACGAGAGAGAGAGAGAGAGAGAGAGTGTGTGCGTATGTATGTGTGTATGTGTGTATATATGTGTGTATGCGCAGGAGAGGAAGGAGGGAAACAGGGAAGGAAGGTAGGATAGATAGGTAGGCAGGTAGGTAGATAGATAGGAGTAGGTAGGTAGGTAGGTAGGTAAGTAGGTAGATAGGTAGGTAGGTAGGTAGGTAGGTAGGCAGGTAGGTAGGTAGGTGAGGTACATCCCATAATCACATTATTACGTAGCGTAACGGGCGTGACAAGTCTACCACACAGACGCTGGCAAATCGGGACAATGGACAATCCACACCGCTGGTCCCTTTCATCTCGGCAATTCTCGCCGGTGCTTTCATTCGGCTTCGACAGACAGGTGTACGCGTTCGATGTTATCCCCGTCTCGATGCACTCCCGGTTCGGCCGCGCCAATTTCCGCATTGTAAATTTCGTGTCAGCATTAAAGGGGATTCGCGCGCTCACGTTACGCCGCTCGCCCATGAGCTTCCTCGAGCCTCGCGGTAGCGCGCGACGCTCGAGGAAGCTGTTACACGGCGCGTGATACCCCACCTAGCATGTTGCTCCATCTAATCTGCCCTATTGGCCGACAGCCGTTGGAGGGAAAGAGAGATAAGAGAATGAGGGGGGCCGAGCGCTGTATCGGATGTATCGGCGACGTGACACGCGTCGCGATATCTTGGCGCGATGAGAACGAGAAAATTGCGCGATGCTGTTAATTAACTGCCGCGGTGGTCAGCAACGACTGGCGTTCTAATGTTGCCGCGGCTCGTTAATTTACGTTGGTTACGTTGGTTACGTTGCAAAACGTAAAACGCAACCAGCCAATTGTATAGAGCAAATTATATATACAGTAATGTCCCAATTAACGACAGTGGCCCAATCATATATGTTTCCCTTAATAAATCAGCCAACACAGCTCCATATTTATCCTAAACATGTGTTCACGCTCCAAATTTTATATATTATCGCTTATAACAGGTTCCGAATAAAGTTACAACCAAAGCCACAGTAAATACTGGAGCAGCATAATTACAGGCATAATTCTGGTAGCGACAGTTGGGACAATTTGGACAATTACATTACGCCGGCATTGTGAAAGTTGATAATTGATATCGAATATTTATTCTACTTTTTATTACTTTATTTTCATGATAAAGATAATTGATCTCTTATTTTACCATTGCGATGAAGCTACCGCATCTTTGGCGATTCAAACTTTGAGCGTTGAGAGAACCAGTGGAAATCAGCGTGGTAGTTCAGCGTGTTAATAGCTACGCTAAGGACGCGCAGATTTACTGGTTGACGGATCGAGCAAACGCTGTCTCCCGGGAGAAATCCCCCGCTCGTGTGTGAACTTATTCAGAAAAGAAGCAAAACGCGCTGGGAAACAATGTGACATAAAAGCGACACTGTTATCCGTGTTGTCGTGAATCGTCGCTACGTTATTGTTGTCGGAATTGCTTGAGGCGGACATAATTTACGGCGATATTTCGTTTTAATCTCTTTTTAGGTGCATTAAAATTGCCTGGAAACATTAGTTAAAAATAAAGCATGACCAATTTTGTCTGCCCCCCGGAGAGTGACTGCATATGACTATGTTCTCTCAGTTTTTAATATAAATTATTGTAATTACGAACGAGCGATAAACCTATACCGGCGGCGTGTAACGACGTTTATATGTATACAGCGCGAAGATTAAAACCTAAAGTGATTTTGAGATTGTCTCAATTATAACACTCAAAATCACGTTGTAATTTTAAATCGCGCTAAGATCCCCGAAAGGACGAACGAGGAGTATCCAGCCGCATAGATTCCTTACCACTTGAGTGTTCTTTGTCACAGGGGAGAATCCTCTGGCCACTTTTCTCCTTCCCCTTCCCTCTCTCTCGCATAATTTTAACTGCACTGCCATCTTCTCTTTGGAAGAGGGGATCTAATACATATTTAAAACTGTCTATAATTTCTCTCCAAGTATCCACCTGAATTTTACGGTTTTTAACCGCGATGTTATTTTACGTTTCAAGCTTAACTCGTCGATCACTCACTCGTCGATGTGTTTGTTGGCCGAAATAAGTAGTATAAATGTTTTGCATAAAAAATTATTGTTACAACGAAAATCAAAATTTCATCATAGCGAAGGTGAAACGATTGTTGACATCTGAGCATTAGTAACATGGAAAACACGCACAGCACAGTGGAGGGAGCTTTTCTGTTTTCTCTATCAGACATACGCATACACACACGCACGAACACACGTACGTGACAGCGCGTTTCTCAATAGTCGCATGAAACACGCGCTTTACACTTTGCGTTTGTTACATAAAAGTAAAGATCAAACCATTGAAAACAGAGATATTAGAGGTTCTGCGGCAACAGCGTTCGCGCGTAAAAATATTCGCGAGAATCCGAGGAGACTTTGAAAAAGAACGTTACATTTTGCGCGCATTTTAAAGACGACCAGAGATATAGCGACCAGAGGCACGCTGCGCTGAAAACGCCCGCTATCGCAAACGTATACATGGCGAAAATATGGAAACGCACGAGATCCGGGACTATAAATTTTGCAATGCGCCGTTGTAGTCACGGTATTAAATTTCGGCCGCGTTATATCCGCGTCGGAGAGATACACGGCTCTCGATACGCATATGCACCGGCAAAAATCTGTTTATCCATTAAATCCCGCATATTCCGCGTTTCGTTATCGCCGGTCATTAGCATAATTAAATCGCATAAAGCGTCGCGCGTATTACGAGACGTTATTGCACCGTCCGAGCCGCGCGCGCCGCGCGCCCGCGTCCGCTCGCTTCTCCGGCCGGCCGCTACATTTTTATCAAGCCAAATTGAATCCGCTCCACGTTTCCGAATCGTACATCTCCATTCGCCGCTGCGATTCCTGGACCTTTTTCGGAATTAAGG